AAACCTGCTCTGGAATTTGAGCAAATCAAAATGTGTCGAAAAAAATCAGAAATTCACACCAGCATAAACGATAGTTATGCACGAAATTGAATTTTCTATAAAACCAGCAATAGTAAATATCTCACCAAAAAATTTCCTATAAACAATTCCAACTAAAGTCTATAAAGTATTTTACCACACAAAAGACAAAAAGAGCAAGCAATTGACCTAGTGTTGTGAACTGTGCTTATAATATCAATATGTTATCTTTAAAGATTTTGGGGTTGTTTTTTTTTTTAATTAAAATGACGACATATTCACCAATTAAATTAATTTTTTTTTTTAACAAAGTTATTTGTTAAGCAGAAGGAAATGAAAATATTTTGTTAATCAAGATATCGAGAAGATTAGAGAAATTTAGGCATGCTGTGATCCCTTTTTCACTTACAATAACTGACGCCCATTCCTTTTAAATACAAAAAAAAATTTAAAAAAAATGAAATCAATTAACCTTTCAAATGAAATACACACAAAAAAATATAATAATTTGTCCGATAGCACAATTCACAGTCTTAAAACAGTTTTTTTTTTAAATATTGGACTGTCAATAATCACTCCATTGCTGCTCCTCGGGATAACGTAAAAGTCTGTAGAAATACCTTTGAGATCCTCTGGATTCTTGAGTCTAAATAATGTTTATGTCTTACATCTACGTGTACAAGCTTGTTACCATGTCAGCTACCTCTTCAGATGAATTGTGGGTCCCCCGTTGGGCGCCAATGTAAACTTGGACCTTGTTTTACATGTGACAAAGAAAACCAAGTTCGTGTAGGTTCATCTCCATTTAATCAAACTTTAGATACATCGGTAGTAATGTAATGACAACCTAAAACATATAATATTAATAAGAAAAAGATTCAAACAAGTGAATTACATTACAATGCATTTTATACAGCATTTCAGTCTAATTCCTGCATTCAGATATATGCAATAAATTCACATGACAGCAATTCAACGACATCTTAGAATAATGACCATCTTATGACAAACATAAATCAATACAATAGAATATAAACTTACCAATATATGGTATTGACTGTTTCCCTCACATTACAACAAACCTCCTTTCACACATGTGATATTAGTCTAGATTGCTGCAAAGTTAAAATATCAATAAAGTGTACAGACAGAAATAATGTGCATATTATTTCAAGTTAATTAAATAATGAGTTAATGAATATTACCCAATGTCGCCATTCTAATTTTACAAAACTCCACATAAGTAAATATCAAAATTTACAATAAATTATTGAAACAAATAATTTATCAAAATGGCAAATAAAGAGTAATTAATGCACAGTTCAACTAAGCAAATATAAAAAATAGAATAAAACCAAAAGTTACAAACTATCAGAGTTCCATGGAGATCCACAATACGAAGAAACAACCAGCTATACCATTATCAATGATGTTCACCCTCAGAACAACCGTGACCAAACTAAGGTATCTCAGAACTCCCGCTCAACAGTAAAAAACAATCATGTACAACAATACACAAACTATTTTCGACCAATGAAAGCAAAGCTTCTGGGATAAACAACTGAACACAGTGAAACGTAATGAACAAACAAGAAACAATCCAAATAATGATTATTCTCAACTTCCTGTATAGAACTTCCGGTATAGCTAAAATCCGTCCAAAGTCGGTATGGTTACATATACAATGTATAAAATAAATTTTAGCCATTCACGTAAACGACAAAAATATAGAAAATAAGTTATTAACTGGTTTTGTTGTTTTGACATTAACAAATAAATAATGTAGTCACCATATTAAGTTCGGCTTCTAAAAACTTTCGTCAGATTAAGCCAAAATGCTGAATGATGAATTTCATATCGCCCTTTTATATCGGTTTTTGGTATATCGGTTTTTTATTAAATATAAGAGAGGTACACAATTTATATATTGATGGAAAAGTTGTTATCTGCATAGCAACTTTATCTGAAAATATTTGTAAGAGTATAAACATAAAGATATCAATACCTGGATACCTATTTAGGTCAGTTCCATAGCACGTGGTTTAGATAACGGTATAAGAATGTATCAGAAAGTGCACATATGAAAACGTTCCAGAAAAAAAATGTTCTTTGATATTGAACTATATAACGAGTATATGTACGAAAGTGTGCCAATAACTTATTTGAGGTAAACATATTATGTAGTTAAATAAAAATCATTTATTTAAAATGCGCTAACTGTATTATATAGTAGGAATTATTTCAGAGCAAGTACTTCTAGCGTAATTAATATACATTTTATCTCTGAAATAAAACTGAATAATGAAATAAAATGCAGAAGAGAAAGCAAAATGCGTAATTGACCCCCGCCAGTAGCTAATTAATTTACGACGTTCCGCCTACTGTTAATTATCGATTAATTGACCAGACGGTAGCTGTCTATCAAATCAATGCATCGATAAGCCGATAGCCAATCGGCGATTAAAATGGACACAACACCGCCTGTCACTCAAACTGGCAGGGGTCACAGAGATAAGCCAATCAGAGATTGTTATCAGTTCCACGCTAAGATGCCTTCGAAGTCTACCATTTTCCGTAGACTGAGACAATGGTGCAGAAGTAATTTAGATTGAAATTAGTTTAATTTTCTGTCAATTTAAAGCTTCTTTTATCGATATATTAATTAAGTTACCAAATATACTGACATACTGACAGATCGAGTAAGTTTATTATACAAAAAGTCAATAATTTTCTACATATGGAAATAATAAGTACGTAGCATTTATCCTGGCTATAACACAATGCATTGGAAAAGGAAAAGATTTAAACAAATCCACTTTTTTATTTCCATTCTGTCTATTCATAATCACATAACTTATTACATATAAGGTTCCTGAATATCCAGAATGTACGACATTTTTTTTCGTTTATAACATCAATAACGTCAATAAAAACGCAGCCGTAGAAATGCGGATATAATGAGTAAATACAATAAAAATTTCGGTGAAATTATCTAACCTGAATATTTCTATTAAAGTTCAATAAATAAATAAGTATTAGATATTCAAATAGATCTGCTTGATTTGAAACAAATACCAATAACATCGTGTCTGATGTATGTGAAGCATAATATTTTAAAGAGAATCACGTGTGTTATGTCGTGAATCATAACAAATGTATGTTAACAATTATACATAATCACATATTAAAAGTTAACAATGGCATGCAATTTTCTGAATAATTTTAACAATTCATGAACAAATTAATGTATCATCTAAACTGAATTTCGCACATAAAACCTGAAAACTGATTTATAATTTATTTGTGTCACTAATATAACTTTACTGTTTTTGTTTCGCATTTTCAATTTCAAAATAAAACGTTCATAACATAATCGTATACTTTCCTACATATAGTCTCTCTTTGAATTTGTAAGATGTAATGATATAATGATGTTTTAAATTTTCATTGAAGTCAGCAAGAAATAACACGATCTTTTATAAAACGTTTATGCATCATTATTATGTGAATGCAGATATTGATTTTTAAACCTTTTTTGAAATACACTAGGGAGTACAGAAGTGACTTGCCATAACATGCCTAAAGTTTTCTCTTCATTTCTGAAGTGTATGCACACGCCGTCTAGTAGATATGCGTTGGCATATTCAGAAATGGGGAAAATGTTAGTCTTGCTTTTGTTTATATTTTTTGTTTCAACAAAATCACACAGTTTCAATTTTTCAATAGCTTTTATGATGTACAACATGTCAAGGAGGCCTAAGGAATTAAAATAAACGTTTAACTGAAGTGATAGTGCCATGTGTGTAAATCATATTCTGTTTATCATTTTCTAATTTTGTTTATGTAATAAATAACGTACCAATGAGCAAGTCTATATTTTAATGACGGAAACCAAATTCGGACAGCGAACAAGGGGTTTGACTAAATACACAATGGATTTTTTTCGGCGTTTCGGGTTCAACGAAAATATTTTTTACAAAACAGGCAAAACGTGTGCTTATTCATGAAAATAATTAACATTTAAGATATAAAACAGATTAACTGATAAAAATGTACGTTTATTTTAAAATGTAGCACAAATGTTTGCATAAGTTTACTTTCAAGGATTCTGTTTTCTTTTGCCTCGATTTTTATTACATTTAGTGATTTTGTACGTACATTCCAGGCAAATATAAATCTTGCGTTTAATCAATTTGTTTAATCTTTTAAAAAGAAGTAAACAATGTGTAGTCGAGGGGTTACACGCTCGATTAGAAAGCGAGAGGTCTAGAGTCCAAATCCCAGTTAATGCAATGCATTTTTTTAATTATTTAAACCAAATAAACATTGAATTGAATATCAGTGTTACAATTAGCCTTATAGCCAGTTTACCACAGTTATAACGCTGGAAACGGCATTGATGGTACTATACAAAAGCAGTCACATTGGTATGTACATAAAGTTAGTTTCCTATTCCTTATTCCTTTTTCGAAATCAGTTCCTTATTCCTTTTTCGAATAATGAATAGGGAACTAGTTCCTGATTCCTTATTCAAATCTAAATAAGGAACAGCAGAATTAGTATTTATTTAAAATAAAATTTATACCTCATTCAAATCAGTGCATAAAGAATCTGCGTAAATTATTTTGAAAAAAAATCGAATAAGGAATATGGAACCAGTTCCTTATTCCTTATTCAACTCCAAATAAGGAACAGAAGTAAATACGTAAAGAAAAGACACCAGTTGCAATTATTTTTGATAAATCTGCATTAGAATTGCAAGGATCAATCAGAAAAATCATGAAATAAAGCATCTGCATAAAAATATTATTGAAAAAAAAATGTTAAAGTCGAATAAGGAATAGGGAACCAGTTCCCTATTCCTTATTGAACTCCAAAAAAGGAACAGAAGAAAATATGTAAAGAAAGACACCAGTTGCCGTTATTTTTGATAAATCTGCATTAGAATTGCAAGAATCAATCATTAAAATCATGAAATAAAGCATCTACATAATTTTTTTGAAAAAAATGTTAAAGTCGAATAAGGAATAGGGAACCAGTTACTTATTCCTTATTCATCTCCGAATAAGGAACAGAAGAAAATGCGTAAATAAAGACCCCAGTTGAGTTATTTTTTATAGATCTGCATTAGAATTGCAAGGATCAATCATAAAAATCATGAAATAAAGCATCTGCATAAAAAGTATTTTGGAAAAAAAAATGTTCAGGTTCATTTGACTCCGAATAAGGAACAGAAGTTATTACGTAAAGAAAGACAGCAGTTGCAGTTATTTTTGATAAATCAGCATAAGAATTGCAAGTATCAATCATTAAAATCATGAAATAAAGAACTACCGGTACATAATTTTTAAAAAAAAAATTAAAGTCGAATAAGGAATAGGGAACCAGTTCCTTATTCCTTATTCAACTCCGAATAAGGAACAAAGTTATTACGTAAATAAAGACACCAGTTGCAGTTATTTTTTATAAATCGGCATTAGAATTGCAAGGATCAATAATAAAAGTCATAAAATAAAACATCTGCAAAAAAGTATTTTGGAAGAAAAATATTCAGGTTCATTCGACTCTGAATAAGGAACAGAAGTTATTACGTAAAGAAAGACACCAGTTGCAGTTATTTTTGATAAATATGCATAAGAATTGCAAGAATCATTAAAATCATGATATAAGATATTTACATATTTTTTCTTGAAAAAAAAAAATGGTAAAGTCGAATAAGGAATAGGGAACCAGTTCCTTATTCCTTATTCAACTCCGAATAAGGAAAGAAGGAAATACGTAAAGAAAGACACCAGTTGCAGTTATTTTTTATAAATCTGCATTAGAATTGCAAGAATCAATTATTAAAATCATGAAATAAAGCATCTGCTTGAAAAGTGTTTTGGAAAAAAAATGTTCAGGTTCATTAGACTCATACTTATTTGACTCATGCCATAAGTCACCTGAGTCATAAGCATAAAATAAAAGTTTATTTCTTAGGGTTGCAGACATGTCATTGACATATATTTTACATAAAAGAGGACCTAAAATGAACCTCAAGGGGGAAACCATATATTAGTACTCAGAGCAGTAATAGAATGAGTACCAACTATATCCACCAGCTGCTGTCCATCAAAGATACTACTTGAACCATGTAAGAATGTCATTACCTATGGCAGATGCTTGAAGTTTCACGAAGAAGAAGAACTTCTTCATGTGCAGTATAGTGTAATCAACTGTATAAAAGTCTTTTGTAGATCTAAAAGTATCATGCATACAAAACTGCCTTTGTCCATTTCAAATTTTATACAATCTGTTAAATGAAGGAAACATGTGTCAGTTGAAAAAACACTCTAAACCCTGACAGAAACTGCCTGGTCATGACTCGAACCCATGCATAACATACTTAATTGAAACTTGATGGTATACGGTATTTTTTCATATACACGGGGGAGGAAGTATTACACGAAGGATGGAGTTCTTATGGTTCGCTGGACTTATAATAACTGTCACGGAGTTTCTGGAAAACGTTACGGATATCTGTGGAAAACTTTTCTATATACTTGGAGAACTCATGTCAAAAATGGTAATTTTTACCTTTAAATGGGGAGTTTGAGGTGCTACATTAAACTTTGATAATTAAGCTTGCCCTACATATTGTATACTATTTCAGAAAAAAACCTTTTAGTCCATTTTTCATCGC